CATGCCACTTGTAGGCCCTGATACTTTATTTTATTTATTTATTTTTGTCAAGGCCTTTGCCATAGGGTTAGTGGCAGCGCTGGAGAGAGAGAGAGAGAGAGAAAGAAAGTGAGAGAGAAAGTGAGATATAATCCCCCCCCCCCCACAAGGGAGATAGCCATGCTGCGATCCCTTCTCCATCCCTTCTGGAATTTTGGGCATGCACGCACACGCACCTGCATTGATTTTCAAGCTGCCAGGCTGACTGCGGTCGGCCATGTGATACTCCAGCACTGTAACCACTACACCGTATGCCGGCTCCCAGATTGATAATTTAAGTGAAATGCAAGTGCAGAGTTACTCACTGATGCTATATTATGCTGGGTTGGGGCTGCTCAGGAGCAGAATACATAGGTTTACTAGAATATGGTGTGCTTGAAACCAAGGTTAGACAGTTCGCTTTGCTTTGTGGAAGAAAAATTAATACATAGGCCTAGGTTACCACTGAAAACCTAGGTTGAAGTAGCAAAATGAGATGTCTCCTGGGCCGGCAGGTGGCGTGGTAGTCAAGGTCGCTGGATTCCCACATGGCCGACAGCGATTCGAGTCCTGGACCTGACGGCTTGCTTTCTCACTTTCCTTTTCTCTCACTCTGTCACTCTGGTCAAATTAAAATAAATACATATATAAATAAATACAGTTAAAATAGTTCTTTTTAAAAAAAAAAAAAAAAAAGATGCCCTCTATAAATCCTTTCAGTTGACATAGGCACTGACAGGTGAGTGAGGCATTTTTATCAGTGAGCTGTTGGAGGGCTAGGCGAGGTTTGGACCTATAATTATTTGTTTCTTTCTTAGAGAAATATGTAATGTTTATGCAGTATGCATGTCCAGCAAGCCCGTTGACCGGTACTGTGTCTAAAGGAAAACTTGACCAAGAAAGTTAAGTCTGAAGCCTTTTCTTTGCATTTTCTGTCCCCAGTATGCTACAACCACAGGCCTTATTTAGATCTTTTGAAGCAGAGCACCATTTTTCTGGGACATTTTCTTTGCCTTACTTAAGTCTGGTGGTCTTGCTTCATGGATCCTTTGCATCCCCCGTCAGTTATTGAACCGACTTGTTTAGTTGCCCATCTTCTCTGTTACCCTCCAGCTTTGTAATGACTTGTGCCAAGATGATTTACTTTACTTTGACACTGGCACGTCACAGATACTTAGTTTTTATGAATGACAAGGTGATGTCTTTTTTTTTTTTTAGAATTATGTATTTAATTCCATTTGTTGTTGTTATTTGTTGTTGTTGTTGTTGTTGTTTTAAAATTGAATAGAGAGCGAGACAGAGATAGAAAGGGAAAGCAAGCCTCCAGGTCCAGGACTAGAACTGCCATCGGCCATGTGGGAATCCAACACCTTAACCATCATGTCACCTGCCGGCCCCTTCAGTTGTCTTCTTAAGAGATAAAAACCTTTGAACAAATCAATGAGCGAACAACAAACAGATGCTGCTTACTTGGTGTTTTATCGAAACTGTGGCGTTCCCAGAGCCGTTTGTGATTGGGGGGAGATATGTGTTGAGGACTGAACTTGTTCTGTAGGGCAGTAATTCCCAGCCCCACCCCAGATCTAGGGAATCTGAGTCCTCTCTCTGGATACTTTAAACTGCCTGGTGGGTTCTTATGCAGCCAGCCAGCCTGGTCTGAGTCTGGTCTGCGAGGTGAGAATGGGTAGGTGGCTACTTACATGCTCGTCCCCTGTCTGCTCTTCAGGTTCAATGGGAGTTGAACTAAAAGAGATAATTTTTAGACCCCCTCCCCATCTTAAAGTTTTGCGATATAAAACCTTTCACTTGGAAATTAGAAAATTATTTTCCTCACAATACTATGTATTTATTTGACTTTTGCCATATGGTGTGTACTCACTGGAGAGAGACACAAAAAAGGAATGTGAGAAAACACCTCCCCCCAGGGGCATGGCCACACTACACTCCTTTCTCCTCTTGGGATTTTAGGCATGCACACACACGCTCCCGGTGTGATTTTCTAACTGCTGGGACTGGGTCCCAAACTATGGTTGTCCATATGGGATTCCAGCGCCTTAACCATCGTACCACCCACTGGTCCCCTGTTTATTTCTTTTCAGTTGCTATGGAGCACATGCATTTGCCAGAGAGAGACAGAGAATCAGCTATTGGGCCAGCAGGTGTTTTGCGTGCATGCCCAAAATCCCAGGAGGAGATGGAAGAGAAGAGATTGGGGTGTGGCCATCACCCCTTAGGGGTGATTTCTTACATTCCCTCTCACTGTCTCTCTCCAGTGAGCACACACACCCTATGACAGAAACCTAAAATAATAATAATAATCAGCTATTGAGCATCAGCTAGGAAGGGATGAAGTGTCATTTATTAGCATAGTGACCCTAGGAGGGAAGAGCAAATTTGTTTGAAGTTTTGTTTTGGGCATGGTAGATTCAAGGTGTCTGTGGGCCATTAGGCAGAAATATCTTTTAGGCAGATGGGTAGGTGAAGCAGAGAGGTGGATTTGTGAATCATTGGCACCTGGTCTGTGCTATCAGTCAAGGCCAGGACCTGGCTGAGCCTGCCATGGGAGAACATGGAGTTGAGAAGAGGTTCAAAGATAGTACCTTAGGGACTATTAGTTTAGTGGTCAAGGGTGAGGAGGGAATGCAGGGAAACCTGTGAGAGACAGGTGGGAGGAAGAAGCGTATGAAAGAGAACCAAAATTGGGAGAGGATGGGTGGCATTGTTGCAGAAAGAAGAATGAAGGGGTGGTCAGCAGCTTTGTCACAGAGCTCCAAGGAAAGAGCAGCCGGCAGGAGTCCACTGGGTTTGGCAATTCACAAGGTCACTGGTGAGAGGAGTTTCCACGGAGTGGTGGGTGAATAGCAGGCGGGGAAATGGTGGGAGGTAGCAAGCGGTGGAAGGGCAGAAGTCAGAGGTGGCGTGGAAGAGGCCTTTGCTGTAGCGGGTAGATTTGAACAGGTTTTTGCGATGATGAGAAGCAGCCGGTTGACATAGAGATTGAAGTTGCTGGAGGAGTGACTGATGATACAGCACAGGTCCTGAGGAGGAGGGACAGCGATGGAATGTGGAGCGTGGATGGAGGGGTTGCAATTGACAAGGAGATGCTTTCCCTGAGGAAGCATGTGGTAGGTGGGAGTAGCTGCTGATGTGGTGGGAGTTGTTGGCAGTGCTTCGTTTTCTCAGGATGTTGGCTGAGCTTGAGGTAGGTTAGGTGGGAGGTGGGATTGAGCAGTATCAAGATGTGGAGTATCTGGTGGGGTGAAGGGACCAAGGCCCAGGGCCTTTGACTATAGGGGTGCTGTGATTCCACAGAGACCCTGATTTATAGAGGGTTGCATGAATCCCTGTTCTCATCTCCTGCCGAGACTCCAGA